ATATATACATACATATATATATTTAAAGAAAAAAAAATGTATATATCAATAACTCTCTCTAGAGTCTATATCAATAACTCTATATGCCCAAAAATTGACGAGCGCCTGTTTGCGCAGCGTCGTGACACGTTTGAGCTGACGATAAACACAGGGCTTCCAAAACAGGGTTCGGTAGTTGAACTCAAATCCATTTCCATAGCCCGTTTGTTTCATTGATTGTTTGTCTGATTGTTTGTTTTGCTTGAGCAGCGAAACACGTTGACTTAGTCAAGGTTACAGGGATAAAAATCAAGCAGAGGAACAAAATAAGAACATTCAGTCGCCCCCCCGTCCCCAGACTACGAGCGCGTACAAAGACAGATCAAAGGATCAGTAGGCCCCCATCAAGTGTTAATACTAATAATACATGTACTTGTCATGATTTCCACAATGCAATCAGTTAAACCTGGCTTGGGACCAAAACGACTCAAACAGATGGAATGGAAAAAGATGAAGTTCTTTTTTTTTTTACTTCTGCGGAAAGGTCTGAGAAGCAACGCACACATACAGGAACAGGTAAGAGGAAGGAGAAGAATTGTTTTATTCCTTTAAATGCAAATTATTGTCTTTTGTCGAACCATATCAAATTATTAATAACAGAGGTCTTGCATTCTTATTCACAATAATTAACGAAGCCTCAATGAGTTACGTAATGCTGTTTTCTAGAATTAAATAAAAATTGGTGTGAGGACAAATAGCTCATTGACATTGTAGAGCTACCGGCTAACGCATATGTGACCCTGTGTTGACTACGCGATGTGCGTACGTGCGTGTATGAGCGCATGTAAGTGTGAGTACGTTTGCAAGTGTATGCGACTGAGTAACATGCTTTTTTATGGGTAGGCGTATGATGCGTGTATGATGAGTGCACAAGTCTGTGCATGTAAATGTTTTAATTGTATATTAGTATATTATATCAAAACAGTTTAGATGATTAAGCAGGCGGGTTGCTTCGACCCTGCCTGCCAGGGCTAGCTCGGACTGAGAGGGACAGAAAGACCCAGCGAAGATATTACAATAATATGGTAAAAAGCTTACCCATTTGGGAATCGAACCCACGTCTTCTGGGAGCGACGGTGAAGCTGTAACTACAACACCAAAGACGCCGGTTGAGAAATTACGTGTTTGTATTATGGAATGTTTGTGGCTATGAGTGTGATTGTGTGTGTGTGTGTGTGTGTGTGTGTGTGTGTGTGTGAGAGAGAGAGAGAGAGTGTTTGCATGTGTGCGCGTGTGTGTGCGCGTGCACATGCCAGTGTGTGTGTATGAGCTTGTGTAAATACGTTTGTGTGCTTGTGCACATGCTTAATCGAGTCTGCCTCTGTGTGTACGCGTGTGTGTATACGTGGGTTAATGTGTGCACGCGCGTGTGTGTGTATGTGTGTGTGGGTGTGTTTGTGTGTGTGTATGTGTGTGTGTGTACGCGTGTATGTATGTGTATAAGTGTATGCGTGCTTTTGCGTAAGCTGTGAATGCGTATGTGTGTGTGTGTGTGTGTGTG